GGGGGTTGAGGGCAGAGGAAGAAGCAGACTCCCCACTGAGCGGGGAGCCCATCCTGGGGCTGCAGCTGCTTAACTGACTGAGCCACCCAGGCGCCCCGAGATTTTGCATTTCTAACTAGCTCTAGGTCACGCCCATGCTGCTCGTCCATGGAACACATTGGAGTGGAGCAGTGGTTCCCGTGTTGAAAACCATGTAAGGAGGTTTTACCAGTCCTGATACCGGCGGGGTCGTACTCACACCGATTAAAGCAGTATTTGGGTGTGGGACCGGGTGGTTTTGCTGTGCCGTCTGGTTTGCGAACCCGCATTCCCCCACCAAGCGGGGCCAGAGGTGCTGTGGACTGCCAGCCTGTTAGAGGTGCAGGTTCTCAGCTACACCAGTCCTGTTAAATCACCGCTGGGAATAAAGTCCACATTCTTTGTATTAATGAGCTCTTTGGAGGATTCTTAATTCATGCCCATGTCTGGGAACCACAGATCTAGGTAATGAGGAAGAAATCGCTGAATCACCTCTCTCTGGTCCTTGGGAATTTTGAAGTGTGGTCTCAGGTCCCTGGATTTGTCACAGAGATGGGGATGAGCGCACCGTGATGCTGTAGGGAGGCTTCTTGCTGTCGAGTTTGTTAGTGTTTGAGGACATATCAGATTTCCGCTGACCCAGAAGAGAGAAGGGCGCAGGATAGGGCAGGGGTGTAGCCCCACCTTTCTGGATTTGCTTCTCGGGTGTCCCCTGAGAAACAGACATCCCCATCGTGTGGACTTTCAGAATATTCCATCTGGAGGCCATGTCTCCCTTAGAGGGTAAGCAAACACAGCCACAAATGGCTTCTTCTGAAACTCCTGGTCAGGAGTGTTTCCTGGGTCATCATCCACAGTGTTGCATTTTGGCGAAATCTCAGTCTCTGACACAGAAGGGATGTGTCATGTTTTAGAGAGATGCGTTTTCAGAAAATGGATCACTTTAGGAAAGTGAGCTTAATGTGAATGAAGGTAAAAGCCTGACTCCACTAGAAAATTGTCCTTGTTATGTCTTGTGAGGGGGTCTATCTCCATGTTAAGCTGCTGCAGCGAGTCTTACCGTGTTGTCGCCATAGATCCTGTTGCTCCTCACGCTGTTGGGAGCTTTTTCATCACGAAGCACTTTCAAAGCTGTGACTCCCTGTTGCCCCTCACTGTGGGCTGGACAGGGTGGTCTTTGCAGCACAGAAGGGGACCAGGCCCTGTGGGGTTCAAGGTGTCTGTCTAAGTCACGGCTGAACCCATAGTGGAGTGCAAAGGTTCCGGGTGCAAAGCCAGGTTTTTCCCACTTGCGATGTTTTGCATGAGGCATTCGGGCATAGAGAATGGGGTGTGTGATCTCTCAATTGTGGATAATTTAATAATGAGTTTTATATTAGAAAACAGCACTTAGATAATTGAATGCACAGGTTGTGCTCCCTCTGTCACTTGTGAGCCCAAATATTAATCTTTTCCTTTACTCCTTTTTAACTGTCTATGTGTATGTATGATCTCCATCTACATACACGCCTGCCCATCTTTTCACTCACCCATCTTTCTTTCTCTCTTCCTTTCTCCCTCCTTCTGTCTTTCCTTCCCTGTATCTATCCACCCACTCATCCATCCATCCATCCACTTATCCATCAACCTATCCATCCATCCATCCATCCACCTACCTATTCATCCATCCATCCACCAATCCATCCATCTCTCTGTTTGTCCATCCATCCATTCATCCATCCACCTACCCACCCATCCCATCCATCCGTCCATTTGTCTATTCACCCATACTTCCATCCATCCCTCCACCCATGCACCCACATTCCCATCCATTCATCCACCCACCACATGCCCATCCATCCATCCATTCACTCATGCATCCAACCATCTATCTATCCATCTACTCATTCACCATCCATCTGTCCATCCACCCACCCATCCATCCATGCACTCATCTAACCATCTGTTCATCCATCCACTTATCCAAGCATCTGCCCAGCCCCTCATCCAGCGATCTATTTACCTATTTTTTTACCTATCTTATAAAAGCTCAAGGATACTGTACCTCATTGTCCTCCTGGGGTGGCCATAGTCCCCAGTGCAGGGCAGAGCACTTAGTAGGTGTGTGAATATTTGTTTCCTTTGCTTCACATTCTAGGAGAATCGGGACTGTCTTGCTGAGGAAGCCATGGGGGATTGTGCCAGTCCAAGTTGTGGTGGGGGTGGGAATGCTAACAAGTATTGGCTTCATGGTTCATTTTATAAATTACTTTTTTATTATTGTAAAATAATAAAGTCATTGTACAGCCTTGTAAAAATACATAAAAAAGCCATAATGAAGAGAGCAAAATTTGTCTCTTTGTGAGACTAACTGATCTGGTGGCAGTCCCCGAGGGCGCGCCCGGGGGTGGGCACCATCCAGCATAGGACGCATGCATTCGGGCCTCACAGGGGAGGAGACAGGTCCAGAGGGTTTTGGGGACCTGCTCAGGTCATCCAGCCTTCCAGGAGCAGAGCTGGGTTTTGCTGCCAGCGGTCCCTTTTCTCCAGGAGGCGCTGCTCACCCACACGTTTGGTTTCCGAGGTCTTTCTCCGGCACTTGGATGCTCCCAGGAACACCCAAGGGCCCGGGGTGCGCACACTTCAGCCTGCAGCGCACGGAGCCCCCACCCCTCTCCTTGTCCGCACGTCTGGACAGATTGGAAGCCAGTAGCCAGTGTCCTTGTGCTGTGCTTCCAGGTCCCCCCACTTCTCACCCCTGCAGACCCCTCCTGCTGGTGCCTTTCGAAGCTCAGCCGCTTGTTTGCTGGAGCCAAAATGTGACTGGGCCATGTCTGGGCGAGAGCGTTTATTATGTGTTCGAGACTGTCTGAAAAGACGAGAGCCGTTTCTACTCCACTGGGCAGTCAAGTTGAGAGAGACTGGGACCATCTTGAGGTTATACTCGTTGAGGTTCCAGTATATTTATCAAAACTGAAGTAATTTCAAAATGTAAACACTGAGGAATGTTTTTGGAGGATTGTGGTGCAGGTGAGCTCAGGCCCCAAGCTCGTTAGAGGCATGGGCACGTGGTCATCAATCACACAGTGTGAGCCCCTGACGGCCACGTGTTTGCAGTTGATGGATGAGTATCTTCTTGGGATGGTTCCATCAGCCCCATGTGGGGTCTCATTGGACGTCCCCTTCCTGAAGGGTGTGTAAGCTGGGGGGGGCTCTCCCACCCTCACCCGGGTGGGTCCCGGTCAGGTTTGAATGTGGCAAGTCTGCAGTGCGTCCTTTGGGCAGGGCTGTTTGAGAAAGGGACCGCTTGTCCTGGGTGCCGTCTGAGGGCTGGAGGTCCCCCTCAAGTACATAAGATACCCTACCATTAACGGGGTGCCTAGCTTTCTACTCAGCGGCTCTTACATGCCCAGCACCATCCCAGGGTTTGGCTCTGCCAAAGGGGTCTTTAATCTGGAGTCCGAGGTATGACTCCAGCTCAGTTCCCGTTGCAATGGCCATGGGTGGACAGCCAAATAAGAAAGAAGAATCCTAATCGTTTTGAGGGTTGACATTGCCCCAGATGAGCATCAGGCCTAAATTGACCTTATACATGAGGGGCCGGCTTCTTCAAGTTGCTGTAAGAAATTTGATGAGAAGCGTAAACGCTGGTGGCTCCTGAGGACCCGGCCTTCCACGTCCTTCACCTGCCCCCAAAGGACCCGAGCCCTCGCCAATGCCGTCAGAAGCCCCAACAGCTCCCTCTCCCCGCTCTAGCGGGTGGGGGTCTCTCCCCAAGTTTGCATCTGTCTGCACGTCTGCCCCATTTCCACATCTCTGCCCCCATGTGGAGCTCCTGCCCTGCTCCACGCCGTCTCAACCCCTGACACCCCTGCACCTCACTGTGACACATCCAGGTGCAGGGTGAGTCCCCCGGTGAGTTTAAAGAGCCCTCAGAACAGTGCTCCTTTACGTGTAAAGAAGCCTGGGGATTAGGGCTAGATGGGGGTGGCGAGCTGAATTCATGATGTGGTTGTCCTTCCTAGGGACAGCCGGGGACGCGACCGGGGTGAGGTGAGAAGGGAATTCAGCCCCAGGTCAGATGCCCCGGTTCTTTTATTCTCAAAACGCGCTTGAAGTCAGAACGACTCATCATCAACCAGTAGTGTTTCTGGGTCCTGGGGACATGCACGTTGTCATATTGCCCTTGACACTCTTCTAGAGGGTAAAAGCCTCTCCAGTGAAGCACATCAGGGCAGTGTGCCTTGCTCGGCAGTGGCTATGATGGGCACTCGGCAATGGCTATGATGGGCTGACCGAGCGGGAGAGAAGGTGGTTTTAACCGAGTACTGCCCTCCCCGTCACAGCCAGCAACAGACTGGTCTGGAGTCGGCTGCCCAGGGCGGTGGGGGACCCTTCCTAACATTGTCCACATGGGGATGGGCTCCATGGTTCTGTCCCCCGGGCTTCTGCCCCAGCCCTGCTGCTGGTCATTTATCATGCTGACCCCATTCAGGTCTCTGCCTGCTCAGACCCAGACCTCCATGGGGCACAGACTCCAGGCCTCCCCTACCCTTGTGTGCCTGCAGCCTGAGCCGGGCGTCCTCCAAGATGCCCATAAGCGTTGTGACTTTGAGATGCAGAAGGGCAGGCCTCTGCCTTTCGGACCTTTAACTGTAGCCCCAGTGGGTCGCTGCTCCCCACAGTAAGCATCTGGATGGTGCCGTGGGATTCTGTGTCCTGAGAGCGAGGGCAGCTTCTCAGACCCGCTGCCCACAAAGCGATAATGTGGAAACTCTGTCTCTGCCCATTTTGATTTGCATGGGACCCCGAGCATCACCACCATTGTCACCCTTGAGACCGTGCTAACCGCGGGGATACCGGGGCTAACGGGTGGGAGCTGCGAATACCCTGGGGTCGGTTCTTCAAGCTCACTCTCAGACTTGGCACTTGGTTCGTGAGCCGTGTGCCTTGGCCGTCTCCCCGGTGCGGGTTCTGAACTACGTTGTGTTTGGGTCCCGCAGAGACCCCACTGACCTTAGCTGCTCAGCTGGACGAGCCCGCGGAGGTGATCAAAGCTCTCAGAAACGGCGGGGCTCACCTGGACTTCCGCGCCAGAGATGGGATGACCGCCCTGCACAAAGCCGCCCGAGCCAGGAACCAAGTGGCCCTGAAGGTACATTCCGGAGCCCGTCTCCCCCGCGGGCACCCCTTCCCTATCTGATCCCCGGCTTCCACACCGGTTCCCTGTCCCCATCCCATGATGACCACCCGAGCTGACCCCGAATTGTGTTCCCACGTGGGTTTGGACATCTAGTCGGGGCCCCAGACCCTCTCTTCTTGGGAATTTTAGAATTTGGTGTTTATAAAAGGTCATCTGTCCCTCTCGTTTGGCCAGAGGCTTGTGATTTCTGCCAGGAAGGGTAGCACTGAAAGCCACCCCCTCGTGCCCCCTGGGAGGAGGCTGCAAACCCAGGCCACAGGCCCTGAGCCAGCCTTGTTGCTGTCGCCAACCCCTCCCCGGTCTCTGGAAGCCCACCCTGGGGGGTGCTTTCACCCCTCACCCTCCCCACGGCCCTCTGCATGCTTTATCTGCCCTGGCCCCAAGTGTGGGGGGCCCCCAAGAGCCCTGGCTGGGAGGGAGGGGGACCCGCTGTTGGGGGCTGACCCCCAACACGATGCTTGTCTTGGAAGTCACGGATTTCTCAAGTTCACATCAGCTGTACCTCGTCCGCTGCCTTAGTCCGAAATCCACGCTGGGATGGTTTTATGCTGTAGGTTGAATAGTACAGCTTTTCCCTTTCTGCAAAAGCTGCCTGCACTTCGTTGCTCTCAGCCAGTACGGGGTTTTGGGTGGGGGGGTCAGCAGGGCGCAGCAGGTCCCTGCGTGCCCCCCACGCGTGTCTGTCTGCAGAGCGTCTCCTGACGTCCCGGATGCACGTGCATCCTGTCACCTGGGCTCCACCTGCTACTTCAGGGCCGGGAACCTCACCACCGGAAGCTGGCCCCTGCTTCACTCTGGGAGGCCCGGGGAACGTGCGGACCCGCGGGCCTGCTCAGCCTCGGCCGGCGGGAGAGTGACCCCCATGCTTCGTTCTTGATTCACTCCCTGCAGAAGGGGTCATGAGACCTGTGTTTGGTGTTGTTTTCTAGACCCTTCTGGAGCTGGGAGCATCGCCTGATTACAAAGACAGCTACGGGCTCACGCCGCTGTACCACACCGCGATTGTCGGGGGGGATCCCTACTGCTGTGAACTGTTGCTCCACGAACACGCCACCGTGTGCTGCAGGGACGAGAACGGCTGGCACGAGGTCCACCAGGTGCGCGCACCGCACCCCTAACACGCCTGCCCTCAGCCTCTCACCCGGCGCCCACAGCTGCCCTCCCAGCGTTCTGTTCCGTTTGGAGCGTCGCCGGCAATTAAAAACGGGGATATTTACCTAGAAACACACGTTTCTGACCTCTGTAGAGAAATCGGAAAGTTAGGCAGGCCTCTTGCATTTCTGTAGGGCAGTGATCATCTGGAGCTGTGGAGTGAACCCGCCCTTCATAGGCGCTGGGAGCTCTCCGTGCATCTAGCGTCTCGGGGACCCCAATAGAGCTTGGCGCCAGGTGCTTTCTGCGCACAGGTGACCCGGCGCACTGCCCAATTTCTAATACGGGTGACCCGGCGCGCTGCCCGATTTCTGATACGGGTGAGCCAGTGTGCTGCCTGATTTCTGATATGGGTGCCCCGGTGTGATGCCCAATTTCCATGCATAGGACCCAGGTTTCCCTGATCCCACCTGGCACCCGTGGGGCTGGGGGTGTGTCCGCTGCAGTCTTATAAAGAAACAGCATCCACCTGATGGCTCAGATGAAGAGTTGTTAGTGCATCCAGAGCAGGGGAGGAAGTTGTGGTCCCAGAAGCAGGGACAGCTGAGGTGGGAGGGTGGCCGCAGGCAGGAACTGCCCTGGCTTCTCTCTTGTCCTGCCCTCCTATTGGCTGAGCCGTGTGTGAGCCAGCCAACCAGGGAGCCCAGTGGTGCAGGTGTCCAGGTCAGGGTCTCTGGGCAGAGGAGGGTGGACAGTGGGTCTGGGGGAGCAGGGCCGAGGAAGGCAAGGGGAAAGGCCTGGAATGGGGGGGTGTCTCTGAACTGTTCTCCGGATGGGCAGTGCCACCTGTCCATTTCCCTCAGCCACTGTGACCTTACACACTTGCCTGGTCCGGGTGGGGTCATGCCCCCCACCCACTGTGGTCAGAGGGCCGAGCAGTGCTGAGGGGTACCAGGTGGGCTGTGGGGTGCAGGCAGGTCCACCCCGCTTGGCCTTTTGCATGCTGGGTCAGCCCTGACTCGTCAGCAGCCTGGGGAGGCATCCAGTTCCATCCCGCGGTGTGAGCTGGGGCCCCGCAAAGCTGCTCCTGGCCACCTCCAGCCCACACCCAGGGAGGGACCCTCGGGGGAGTGAGTAGCGATGAGTGCCCTGGGGTCTGCATTTGTTCACCCTTAAAGTGGGTGTCAGCGGGCCCGTGGTGCCCTCGGGCTGTGGGAAGGATCTAATGTAAGTGCAGTGCTGAGCCTCCTCTCTGCTCATCCTGCCCGTTCTCACTCTGGCCCCCATGGCTGCACGTCTGAGTGCTTTCGGGTCATTCCAGAGTCATTTCCTGGCCTGTCCCAAACCCCGGTTTGAAATGTAGTTTTAATACCATGCAGGTACAGTGAGGCCAACCGATCGGGAGATGGCTGCCATTGGAAAAAGGGTGTGTTACTCACAGATCCTGGGAGGAGGGGCAGATGGGGCAGGGGGGCCACATGGGAAGCACCGGGCTGGGTCAGGAGGCAGCAGGAGCGGGGGGAAATGGGGCCAAGAGTCTTCACTGTGACTTTTGTAGGATGGAACAGGCCGAGGCATGGCTGGTCTGGATAATGTCAGGGGCTCAGGGGCACTGGGGCTGTCCCTGACTGTCTGGGCTGACCAGGGCAGGTGGGTCGTGGCCCTGAGGGCGAGAGCCCAGTAAGGCAGGTGGGGGTGATGGCTCTGTGTGGGCCGGTTTGTGTCTGAGAGCCGCCCTCTGGGCCAGTCCTGTGCGGTCAGAATTGACTTGCCTGGGGAGGGGCAGACCCCCCCCCCCCAGTGTCGGCAAGGCCCCACATGCCAGGGCATCAGAAATACAGAAGATGGGAATGTGGAGTTGCTAGAGCTTGAACCCTGCAGCAGGGCCCCAGCTTTGGAGAGTTCTCCGGGCCGGGTTCGCCCTCCACCAGCCGGAGGCCTCCCACCAGCGTCCCTTTCCCCTCTGGTGCATTCGACAGTCTGGCCTCTGGTCACCCTGAGATGAAGAAGCATCAATGTGTTGGGGTGGGCGGGGGGCGATCCTGGTGGTCACTTCCTGCAGTGTGGGCTCCAGCCGTGATTTCTGGTCCCCGCGTGTGCTGGGTCGCATCCCTGAGACCCCGAGCGCGGGTTCCGAGCCTGCGGGCACTGAAGCCACCAGACCTCTTGGTCCCAGGGCCCCAGCCCCTGGCGCTGAGTTTGAGCTTGGAGGGGGCGCTCCCAGGCCTGAGCATCCCGCTTCCCGTGGCGCCCATCAGGATGGTGTCATGTCCCCCAGGTGGTGGGTTTCTTTTCCACGATGTCCTGGGAGGCCAGTTCCCTCTCTACTAGAGGTTCTCGATTTTCCGGGTAAAGTCCCTGCCTCCCGAGCCCCGCTGTCTCATCTGCCGTGGCTGAGACTGGCTGTGAGGTGGTGGAGGCAGGCGCAAAGCAGAGATCAGTAGACCGGCCGTCCTCCTCCAAGATTCTCAGCACTCAGTCAGCTCCCATGCCGTCCTGATCTGCTTTATCGGCTCCACCTTTCACACCCTGGAGCAACCCCAGCGGACACCTGCTGGCCTCCATGACTCAGACGAGGTAACCGGCCCGGAGAGGGGGAGTAACCTGCCCAAGGCCACAGCTGAGTCCACTCCCGGCCCCTCTCAGCACCGCCTCCAGGCTTGCAGACGGAAGCCGCCCCTGCCGTGACACCCGGCGGTGGCAGGAGGAAACAGGAGGCAGGTTTTGCACAGAGCTAGCAGGAGAAGCACCTTGGAGTTCTGGGGTCCGCAGTTCTGCATTTGACATCTGTCCCTCCGCCTCGTGCCCTGGAGTGGGGGCGGCTCCTTCCCAGCCGCCTGGCTCCACGCCCTTGGACGGATCCTGCTCGCCCACAGCCAGGCCTGCTCACAGGTCCTGCGGTGGTTCTGCTTCCCGCCAAGGCCAAGGCCAGGCGCTGAACTGTCAAGCGAGGCCCTTCCGATCCCGCACCTGCCGCGCAGCGCCTGGGGACGCCCGCCCCCTGCAGGCCGACTGTGGAAGCGCGCGTTTTTGTATGTGGCTTGTCTGCAAACTCTTGAGTTGTTCAGATTACCCTAACTGCTCAACATGGAAGGAGTGGAAAATTCGAAGAAACAGAAAGAAGAAAGTAAAAAACACCCAAACACATCCCCACGACCCAAGAACATCAAGATAAGGGAGGACGCGTCCTCCTGTGCGTCTTGCCTGCACCCTTGGCGGGCCTGCGGACCACGGGTTTGGCTGCGTCAGGACTCCAGGGTAGGTTACGGGAGGCTGAGGGCTCTGGAGAGGGTGGCTGCCCCCAGTCTGGGGACAGCTGCTCCGTGGAGGAGCCGCCCTGGGGTCCCACGCGCCTTCAGGCAGGCGGTGCTCTGTGCTGGCTCTGGGAGAGCTCCATCCCGCCCGCCCTCCTTCGCGAGTTCCTCTGACAGTGTTTCAGGGAGGGGCGTTCCCTCCTTCTGTTGTCAGTCCAGGGGATTGGCCTGTGAGTTAGCCACTCCCCCTCGCCCGGCCACGCCTCAGTCACTGTCTCAGTCCTCATCTGCTTCGTTGCGGTCATCATCACCATCATCACCGTCACCTGGCCATTGTCACAAAGAATATGTGACACCACTTAACCGCTTTGTTCACAGGCTTTACTATAGATCTCATCTGATTTCCTCAAGAATTCCTTTTTTTCCCAAAGATTTTATTTATTTATTTGCGAGAGAGAGATCACGAGCAGGGGTGAGGGGCAGAGGGAGGAGCAGACGCCCCGCTGAGCAGGGAGCCCGACGTGGGGCTCGATCCCAGGACCCCGGGATCATGACCCCACGCCCCACTGCGAGCAGCCAAGCCCCCCGGCCCCAGCAGTTGGAGCTGCAGGAAGTGCCTTACCTTGCTTTGGGGGTTCTGCCACATGCTGCCCTGGGGCGTCAGATCCGAATCCCGTGCCCCTACCCCGCCCGGACGAAGGGAAGTAATCAATGCTTCCTTTTGCGGGGGGGCCTGCGGAGGGATTGAAGCCCACCAAGCAGGTGTCCTTCCAACCAGCCCTGATTCTTGGGGCTGAGAGGAGATGCCAGGAGGGGAGGAGAGGGGTGAAGAGCCCAGGCCGGGATGGAGGGGTGCCACCTTCTCCCCATGGTTGGAGCCTGTGCTCTACCCTAGTGTTGCCAGGGAAGTCTGCGAGAGACGTCTTCTGTCCAGAACTCATGTTATAAAAGCCGTGGGCTCCATAGGGAAAGCGACCACTACCGCAGCTGTCAAAACATAGCTTCCCTTTTGGAGTTCTTAGCATGACATTTTGTATGTATGTCATTGCAGGCTGAAACTTACAGATTAGTTGATCTGAACTGATTGTATTGGTTTGTTTGGGCAGTTTTGACGAAATCCCACCAACGGGGCTCACACAACAGACGAGTACTGTCCCCCGGTCCTGGAGGCTGAAGCCCAGGATGCGCGTGCGGGCAGGCGGGGTCCCCCTGAAGCCTCTCTCCTCGTGTGTATGTGTGCGTGTGGACGGCCGTGCTCTCCCTGGGTCCTCACAGGGTCGTCCCTGCGTGCGGGTCTGTGTCCTGATCCCCTCTTCCTAGAAGGACCCCGGTCACCCTGGATCAGGGCCACCTCAGTGGCTTCATGTTACCTTAATCATCTCTTCAAGGTCCCCATCTCCACATATAGTCACATCCTGGGGTGCTGGGGGTCAGGGCTCCAGCAGAGGAATTGGGGAGGACATCGTTCAGCTCCTAACCCTGGCCAACACAGAGCTGGCCGCTTCCTGGTTGACCTGCCATCCACACACTCATTTGCACATTTCCCCGAGGCCCTTTGGGCTGGCAGCAAGACCACCACTGGCCTTTGAAAACCGTGGAACCCAGGGCCATGGGGCAGCCAGTGGCTCGAGTCAAGCAAGCCACGTGTGCGCATGTTTGGGCAAGGGTGTCCCTGTGCTGCCGGGCACCTTACTTGCTGACCAAGCGAGGGCTGAAATGACGTATTGTTTTTGAACCATCGGATGGAGATGTCTCCTGTTCACATTATAAGCACATGCTTCACATAGGAGAAATGCCTAGGCGTGGTGTGGATTAAGTAATTTGGTTGGTGGCACAGAATCATGCAGAAGCATTTGCTGCTCACTTGCAATGCAGTGAACTCCGCATTGTTTCCACGTGCCTTGCACAACCTGGGGTGCTTCTCAGCTTGCTGCCCCCTTGGGGTGTAGGTGTGTCACAGCAGGTGCCCAGCAGGTGGCAGTAAAGCGCTGGAAGGAAGGCGCGCCCTTTTCCCTAATTTCCACCAAATTGTGTGGTTGGCTAGTGATGGGGCGGGTATTTGGCATAGCAGGGATGAACCGCAGGTCTCTTGGGGAAACTTCTCCAAACACGCACGCCCAGGAGATTTGCAGGGAGTAGGTGTGGAGTGGAGCCCCCCGCACGTGCATTTCCCAAAAAGCACCTCATCCAGATGGTTAAGATACAGGAGTGTAAGGGGTACTGTATGTCAGGTTTCAGCTCTCTGGCTCTGGCAGCCCTTCTTAGCTGTCTCTCGAAGGCCAGGAGCCGCAACGCCCATTTCAAGGGGGAAATGGTTAGCATAGCCTATTTTGGGGCTGGACAGATTTCTTACTTTGGTGAGCTTTGAGGTCTTTGTGTCAAACAAGGATGAGGTTCTCTTTCTAAATTGTGAAGGACTTTATCAGTTTCAAACTCACAGAAGAGTTGCTAGAATGCTAGAGAACCCCACATACCTTCACTCACAGACCGTGTTCGAGTTTTGTCCATCGTCACAATAACGTCCCTCATACTGAAAGGATCCCATCCGGGACCCCGCATGGAAGCCTTCCATCGGGGACCCCTGCGAAGATTATGGGGCACTCAGCTTGGAGATTGCCTCGCAACTTGGGTTGGGTCGGTGTTTCTTCTCGATGAGGTCCGGGGTGTGCATTTTGGTAGGAATATTGTAGGAGTGATTGTGTAGGGATATCGCATTCCTGGCATCCTGTCAGGGGGCATGTGGTGACCCTTGCCCATTACCGGTGACATTCACTCTGACCTCTTGGCCAGGTGGAGTCTGCCAGGCTTCTCTCTTTCCTTCTGTAATTAGGATTTTGTGGGGTCTCTGAGGCTGTTAAGTCCCTTTCCTCATCCCCCATCCACGGATGGTCTTAGCATCCATTGGTATTTCTCGCCTGCATTAATGATCACTGTCATGGCCACTAAATGGGGGTTTTCTACTCCCATCCTCTGGGGAGAGCCAATGAGCCCAGGCTCCTTTGATTTAAGGAACAGTGCTGTCAACTCAAACTGGTATAACGGGAAATAAAAGTCCTGGCCAGGCTCTCTATGTCCCGAGGAGTCCAGGCATGGCTGGAGCTCGGACGGCCCAGTGACGGGCTGTATGTGCGTCTGCCCTTGGCTCCACGTCTGTCCGCCCTCCCTCCCTTTCTCACCCCTGTGGCCCTGCTCCTTTGCTGGGGGCCCCAGCAGCTCTGGGGTTCTGCGGGTTGTGGAGGCCCCTGGGCTGTGCCCACGGCAGCAGTGGGCGGGGCAGCCCCCCGATCTCTGAGAGTGGGGCTGGGGTCCCCACAAGAATTGCAGGCACTGTTGCCACGGGAGGGGAGGGTGGGCAGCAACCGTGTCCGGGTAACCACCTGCTTCGTGAACTAGTGCGCCTGCTCCACGGGGGGCGTGGCGTTAGAAGTGCTTGTTTCTCGGGTTCTCTGTGTAAGCTCGTCCCAGTAACAGTTCGAGCATCTTTCCCAACGTCTTTCCTTGGCGAGGTGCCACAGTCCACCCCAGGTATCCGGAATGCGCGGTAGAGAGAGCTGCCCGGCCTGCCCCTCGGTGGCCTGTTTTCCTACTGCCGTGGGCTTCAGTGGCCACCCTCGGCCTGAGAAGTGTGTGTCAGGACCCGCTTCCTGGCCTTCCCGGCTCCCATCCACATTGTCACCGCTCACGGGGACCCTGGCCCTCCCACCTCTAGTGCTGTCCATCGCTGGCCACACGCTGGCCTTTCCTGACGTGCCGGGAAGTGGGTGGATGGGGTGGGGCCTGGTTGGAACTGACTGCCCGCTCAGGGTTGTGGGCTGCCCTGGTACCACGCAGAGTGCCCAGGACCCCGGCTGAGCTGTCACAGCGCGGGGCCTCCTGGCTCCCCGAGAACTGCCATGGGCAGGGGCTGGCCTGGTGCCGAGCAACCCGTGGGCCCTTTGGGGTCCCTTATCCTACGTGATTCTCATAAGAACATTCTCATAAGAATGTAGGGTTTATGTCTACAGGTGAAGACATAGGCTCATGGGGGAACATTCTGGAAAATGGAAGGTCCATGACTTGGGTGCAGATCTCTTTGACCCCAGAGCCTTGTTGGTTCAGGAATAGCACACATCACCGCCTTGAAGGACCCCGGGAGGGAGAAATCTCACTGTGGGGCTGCCTGCCCCCTGCCTCCTGAACGCTCCTCAGGGGGTGGGTTACATTTCGTAGCAACAATGGGGCCTGCCCCTCGCCTGGAGGCCAGGCTTGGCTCCCTTCCCTGGAAATAGCAGGGGCTGTATGTTCCCCTTCTTGCTGTTTTCACGCCCCCTCTCGGGGCCAGGACTTTGGATAAGTGGGGCCAGAGATGGAGTGTCCTGGTTTGCATTTTGTGGGGTTGGCCACTGAGGCCAGCAGGGAGATAGCGCGTGTGTCCCTGGGCTTCGGGTCCCCAGGTTCAAAGGAAAGGAGCATTGGGGCCCTTCGCAGACCTGCTGTCCAGGAGCCCAGCATAAGTCCTTAGTCCTGTGATGAGCTCCCCCACCCTGATCCCAGCCAGGGGTCTGATGGCCCCCCTGAGGCTCAGGACGCTGTGGGTGGCCCTGCATTTGGGGTCCTGGTCTCACATGGGGGGTGGGCTGGGGTCGGCCGAGCACATGTTGAACTTGGAGACTGGTGTGTGGGTTTCCCATTGACAGCGCGGACTCTCGTTGCAGGCCTGCAAATATGGCCACGTGCAGCATCTGGAGCACCTGCTCTTCTACGGGGCCGACATGGCGGCCCAGAACGCCTCAGGGAACACGGCCCTGCACATCTGCGCCCTCTACAACCAGGTCAGTGCGGGCACGCTGGTGGGTGCGCTCCCCCAACACCCTGTCCGGCCGTGTGGGTGCCGGGGCTGGGGCCGGGCTGAGCGCCCTGCAGGGTGCTGTCTGGCTCAACAGAGGTGCCCTAACAGAGCCCCACAGATGGTCCTGGAGGCTGGAGGTCCACGATCAGGGTGCGGGCACGTTCCCTTCCCAGTGAGAGCTCTTTGCTGGCTGCAGATGGCGCCTTCTGTGTCCTCACACGGTGGGGAGTGAGCAAGAGCACTCTGTGGTCTCTTCTGACAAGGGCGCTGTCCTGTCAGCTCAGGACCTCACTGGACCCTCAACCCCTCCTCAAGGTCCATTTCCAAAATCGCTCGCCTTGGGGGTACGGGCTTCAGGGAGGAAGCTAGGGGGAATCCTCCAGCCCTTAGCAGCTGCTGCTTTGAGAATGGGTTACCCCGTCATAGCAAAGAGGAAGCCGAGTTGCGGGGAAGAGAAAGGAGCGGTCCCAGAGCTGGAGCTGGGCTGGAAACCCTGGTCTGCTCCCCTCCCAGGCCTCACTGCCACACTGTCCACTTCCAGAAGCGAGCTGGGGAGCCGGGATCCTCTCGTTTCCATCCTCCCCAGCCGAAGGTGCAAACTCTGCCCACCCTGGGGTGGCCGTCTGCTGGGACGTGTGGGGCAGAGGGGCAGGGACGTGGCTGACCGGGCTCCCGAGGTCGGTCTGGCACCCCACCAAACTTGCACCAGACCAGCATGTAACAAAGGCGAATTACCACCACTGTGTGTGCAAACACGCTCCCAATGGCCTTTTTCTCTTTAGCTGTGGTAACATGTGCATGACAAAATCATTTAGATTTTAACCACTTTTACAATGTAGTTCAGTGGCATTAAGCACATTCACATCACTGTGCAACCAGCAGCGCTATCCTTCTAGGACTTTCCATCTTCCCAACGGAAACTGTGTCCCGAGAAGCACCCCGTCCCCCTCGCAGCCCCTGGCGCCCACCGTCTACCTTCTGTCTCCACGAATCTGACTCCTCTGGGGACTGCATCTGAGTGGGTTCCTGCAGCATTTGTCCTTACATGCCTGGTTTATTTCACTGAGCGTAATGTCCTCAAGGTCCATCCATGCGTCGCATGTGTCGAATGTCCTTTCTTATGGCTCAATAATATTTCATTATGCGGATGGACCACATTTTGTTTATCCATTCATCCCTTGATGGACACATGGGTGCTTCCGCCTCTTGGCTGTTGTGAATAATACTGCCATGAACGTGGGTGTACGAGTATCTCTTCAAGACCCTGCTTTCCTCTTCGGGAGGGGGACTGTACCTACAAGTGGAACCCCAGCATGAATAAAAAGAAGCACGTACTCTTCAGTGTTAGACCAGAAACTAAGGGAAGCTGGAGATGAGCTAGTTTGGTATGCCCTGAGGGGTAGGACATGATCCCTGGCCTCTAGGAGCACGAATCCCAAATGGCGAGGGAGCAGCACCCTGGACCGTGTGAGCACCCTGCTGGTCCCGCCGAGAGGCACGGTGGTGGGGCTGAAGACGGTGGAGAGGCTCGTGGAGGCCGTGGGAAGGGCCTGGGGCTCCCAGGAGGCCGTGGGTTGCAGGACCTGCTTGGGGCAGGGCGGAGGGGTGGGGAAGGAGGGTCAGTGTCCTTGAGGCTCAAGGTCAAGATAACTCCTGGATGCCAGTATCGAAGGTGTTCTCTGCTCCAACTTTCTTTTCTTCATGTCTCTCTGATTTCAAGGAACTTTGAGTCTGGAGGATGGTGGGGTCTGGACACTATACTAAACAGCTGAGCAGAATGTGGGGGTCTCCACCAACTGGAGGAACAGAGGGGAGATCTTTCGGGGGCCTCTAAGCTGTGTGCACTTTGCTTGTCTTCTCTGCCATCGGCATCATCTTCCCAGAACGAAGCCATCTTTTTGGGTGAAATCTTCAGCCTTTGTCTACACCTAAGTCCTTTCCCTGGCCCTTCCAAGACCAGACCCCTCCAACCACTTTACTTCCAGCTATGAAACCCTCCTAGATTCTTTGCCGTAGAAAACTTCTATGCATCCTTCAAGACCCAACTCAGATATCCCACCCTTAGTCAAGCCTTCTCTTAATGAGCCCCTGAGAGCATTAGCTGTTGTTTGCTCTGCAGCCCTTTGCAAGATAACCAGGATGAACTGCCATTATGCCTTGCCTGTTTTCCCTGCTAGCACCCTGTCCCCCTTGGACCCAGCTTCTCAGAGGTATAGATTGCCATCTTTTAGGGTCTCTTCTGTGGCTGGCATGGCAGAGCAGCTCAGCCAGAGGGGGTTGGGGGCGTGTTTCAGCAGAGCTTCCTCCTTAATGCGAGCAAATCGGTGGGATTTGCGTGCAGCGTGGGCAGTCGGTGCTGCACGGTGTTTTTGGACGTCAGGGTGGCTTTGTGAGCATGGAGGTACCTAGCTGGGCCGCATTCAGAAAACGCACATCATGAGACTTGGCTTTGGCGGGTAAAACATCTGTGCCTACATGTGCTTCTCAATTGTTGCCTTAGAGGGGAAAAGCGTTCCTTAATTTTCCCCGGTAGATTTCAAGCATAATTTATCATGAATGAGAAAAGAAAAACAGGAAGAAATGTTTTCTGTTGCTTGAAATAATTGAGGACAAGACGGTCTTTGAGAGTGTCGGTGGTATGTTGTTAGGGAAGGTTCAAGCAGTCTGGTAGTCCTCATTCTGACTTGTTGACGGGGCCTGGTGTGACTGGCATGGTGCTGCCTGTCCCCCATCTGTCCCCAGCCCTTGGCCGATGGCTTCAGGAAGACCCTCCCCCATGTGCCTGAGGAGTATTTTTTTCTCTTAGGTATTTTCTTTTAGGAGCAAACATTTCCTGTAAAGGGCCACTTAGTAGATATTTTTGGCTTTGTGGGCCACGTGGGCTTGGTCACGGCCATCCCATTCTGCCGCTGTGGCATGAACTCAGCCACGGACAACACCGAGGTGAGTGAGTGTGGCTGTGTGCCGATCAAACTTTATTTGTAAAACAGGCAGCAAGCTGAGTTAGGCTGGGTGCCATACTTTGCCCAGCCTGAGTGGGGAAGACTGCATCTGCACCCTCCCCAGACACACGTGTAGACAGACTCCCCGCTCCAAGGCTGAGCGACTTGCTCCCAGTGCGCCAGTGAGCCCGGGTAGGCGTGTGAGAGCTCTCCCCTCTCTCCAGGGTCCCAAGATCAGCCTTCTGCTGCTCTAGGCTGTGTGTCCCTCCTCTGCAGCATGGTCAAAACCCCAGCAAGGTCATGGTCTAGACTACAGGGAGCCCTGTCCTCTCCACGTCCAGCATGTACCGCACATTGTCCCTAACCAGAGCCCTGTCCTCCCATGTCACCAATGTGTTGCGCTTCTCTGTTCTACACATGTGGGCATCACGTGGCGGCATCAGGCCAGGCTCAGTGCCAACTAGAGGAACCGCTTTGCAACTTTCAGCAGAAAAGGTGTCGGAGGGCGCACATACAGAGCACTCCAGGAAATCATGTTGAGAAGTAGACTGCTCCAGGGGTGGGGACACAGTGTGGGAAAGTCAGAATAGGATTCAGGGAAGGGAACTGGAAGCAGCCACAATGAGGTGGAGTTGCAGTGCAAGGAGGCGTGGCAGTCTGGGCTCCACGTGGCCTAGACCATGACCTTGCTGTGTTGTCTGGGGCAAACTCCTGTCTCTCTTGGACAATGAATTCTCCCATCTGTAAAGTAAGGATAATTCTACCTAACTGCCAGAGTTGCTAAGAGACTTAAAATAGAAAACAAACATATGGTATGTCTGCCACACAGTGGATGCTTGGTAAATGGTAGCTGTAATGGTGGTGATGGTGGTGGTGATGGTGATGGTGGTGATGGTGGTGATGATGGTGATGATGGTGATGATGGTGATGATGATGCTGATGCTGATGGTGATGCTGATGGTGATGATGGTGGTGATGATGATGGTGGAGATGATGGTGGTGGTGATGATGATGGTGATGATGGTGGTGGTGATGATGATGGTGATGCTGATGGTGATGATGATGGTGCTGATGTTGGTGATGATGGTGGTGCTGATGGTGATGATGGTGATGCTGATGGTGATGGTGATGATGATGATGGTGATAATGATGATGGTGATGATGATGGTGCTGATGTTGGTGATGATGGTGATGGTGATGATGATGCTGATGGTGATGATGATGGTGGTGGTGATGATGATGATGGTGGTGATGATGGTGATGATGGTGATGATGATGGTGATGATGATGATGGTGATGATGATGCTGATGCTGATGGTGATGATCGTGATGATGATGGTGATGATGATGGTGCTGATGTTGGTGATGATGGTGATGCTGATGGTGATGATGATGATGGTGATGGTGGTGATGATGGTGGTGGTGATGATGCTGGTGATGATGGTGATGATGGTGATGATGATGGTGATGATGATGCTGATGCTGATGGTGATGCTGATGGTGATGATCGTGATGATGATGGTGATGATGATGGTGCTGATGTTGGTGATGATGGTGATGCTGATGGTGATGATGATGATGGTGATGGTGGTGATGATGGTGGTGGTGATGATGCTGCTGGTTATGATGATGGTGATGATGGTGCTGATGGTGATGATGGTGACGGTGGTGATGGTCCTGCTGCTGCTAATTTGCCTTGCCAAGCCTCTCCTTGTTAAATCTAAAAGCATCCAGGTTTATGGATTTGATGTGTGTGTTTTATCAATTTTAGGCAGGCCTCATCTGCACGCTTCTAATAAAATACACTGATCATAATATTCCCTTCTCTTATGAAATCAGCTAATTAGGGCTTTGATTGTAAGCAGCAAGTTGTGTCTAATCTGACAGGCCCCTCAGCTTCTTGCTGGCTTTTTCTGGAGACCCAGAGGGAGGGAAGCAGCCTGGAATTTGTTTTTCTGGCTCAGATAATGAAGGAAGGGAGGGAGTCTTAAATATCAAAGGTTACTAGGCCAGGCCAATTTGTGGGGAGGATGAGAAATAAGCCCTGCCTCTCATTCCAGGGAGACCCAAGCTAAGAAGAGACAGGCTGCATCTCTGTGGCCCTTCTGGTGTCAGCAGAGCACCGGTCAGCACGGTGGCTGCCTCCCCGGGGCCGTCATGGGGGGTCGTCATCCTCAGGGTCACTGGGGGTGTGTATGTCATGGAAGGAGGGCGTCCACATGGTCTTTCCCTTTTGATCCCCAGGGAGCCTTCAGTGGCTGCCATTGGTTGACATTCTCTCCTACGAGTCAGGAGATGGGTGCTTGGTCCTCGGCAGCTCAGCTAGTAAGTGGCAAAGCTGGGCTTCCAACCCGCCCTGTATTTCTTTGCCCCGAGGCTGCGGGGACACATTCCTGTGGCCCGTGGCTGGGGTGGGGACGGGGCTCCCCTGGGCCCAGGTCAGGCACAGGCGCCGTGGTCCACGGCATGGTCAGGTGTGGTCTTTAGGGCGCTGCTCTTCCAAGGGGCCGGGTTCCAGCCACTCTGGTGACACCCATCTTCCCACCTCCACCCTCTCTCTTCAGCAATGCTGGCATTTTACCTCTTCTTAGATCTCCGTCTGTCCGCACAGACGCGTGTCAGAGGATAGTTCAAACTGGAAGCGAGTTCCCGACTTACAATTTGGAGTACTTAGTAAATCACATCGGGGACATCGGCTCCATGCCATGGAGATGAAAGCACCGGGTGGGATGTGGAAATCCAGAATTTTTTAAACCCTGGCTCTGTCCTTGACAGGGCTGTTCTGGGCAAACCCATAACCTGCATCTGGTCGCGCCCTCTCTCGTCTCCTCCGTCTGCCCGTTTGCTTGTGTCCAGACCCCACTGACCTTCCCTGGCAGCTCCCACGAGCTTTCCCCACCTGCCACCCCGTCAGGCTTCCATCCCTCCCGCTGGGGGCAGTCGGCCACCCCCATGTGCCGCACATGCCCGTGGCCTACATTCTCTCCCATGGTGACCTCAGGCAGGCCCATCTGTGGCCTTTGATACATTGTACACACACGCTCACAGACACATGTGTACACACACCTGCACACATCTGCATACATGTGTGCCTGCACACACAGGCCTGCACACATGCGCACCTCCACACGTGTGTACACACATGCCCACACATGCCTGCCTCCATATGTGCATACTCAACAGAGCTGCACACACACATGCACACAGATATACACACACATGCACACACATGCCACACGCCTGCCCCATACGTGTATACTCACAGAGCTGCAGACACACATGCAGACACACATGCACATAACATACCCACACACGTGCATACACACATGCCCACACACACCTGTCCCCATACGTGCATACTCAGAGCTGCACACACACATGCACACACACATGCCCACACATGCCTGCCCCATACGTGCATACTCACAGAGCTGCACACACACATGCACACAGACATGCATGCACACACGCACATACACGCCTGCCCCCACATGCATACTCACAGAGCTGCACACACATGCATACACACATGCCCACACACATGCATACACACACGCACACACACGCCTGCCCCCATACGTGCAAACTCACAGAGCTGCACACACACATGCATGCACACACATGCATACACACATGCATGCACACATGCATACACATGCCTGCCCCCATACGTGCATACTCAGAGCTGCACATACACATGCATACACACACATGCATGCACACATGCATACACACGCCTGCCCCCATACGTGCATACTCAGAGCTGCACATACACATGCATACATACACATGCCCACACACATGCATACACATGCCCACACACGCCCACACACAGGCATACACACACGCACATACACGCCTGCCCCCATACGTGCATACAGAGCTGCACACACACATGCATACACACACAGGCCCACACACATGCATACACACACGCACATACACGCCTGCCCCCATATGTGCATACTCAGAGCTGCACACACACATGCCCACACATGCCTGCCCCATACGTGCATACTCACAGAGCTGCACACACATGCCCACACACATGCATACATACACACGCACACACATGCCCACACACGCCTGCCCCCATACGTGCATACTCACAGAGCTGCACACACACATGCACACACATGCCCACACACATGCATACACACACACATACACATGCACACACATGCATACACACGCCTGCCCCATACGTGCATACTCACAGAGCTGCACACACACCCGCACACATGTGCATACACACATTCCTACACACAAGTTCCCACAAACACTTCTGCACACACACGTGTACACGCATACACTTGCATACACGTTTGCACACACAAGGTATGATTGTTACCAAGCTGAGCAAACCATTTGCCCTTTACTTTTGAGATAGCCCTGGAACGTGATCTCATGTGGACTCTGATTAACAGGAGAGTGATGGACCATGTCTCAGGCTTGGTTAATATTGACTCACAATCTTCCCTTGGTGGGAGGGGGCCCCTGACTGGGTCCCACCTGGCAGGGCATGAATGGCGGTACCTGGTGAGGATTTATTCTCGTGTTTATGATGGGACTTTCCAGCGAGCATCCTCGTTGGGCCGTGCAGAGCATTTGTAAGAGATTGCAGAGGCGGGGGTCTTGCAGGGCTCTGGAGTCCTGGTTCCAACTGGCCAGGTCACTCCCGCTCGGAACTGGCAGCTGCCGGTGCTTACGGTTTGTTCATTCATCCCCTTGAGGCTTTTCAAACATAAATGGAGTTATGCTGTATTATTGTTATGAGACTCTCTACTTGGAAAGTCTGTGTTTTCTACCTGGAAGTTCTTGGTGTATTTCTTTACAGGTTTGTGGATCTACCTGTTTTTTTCCTACAACTTTCTAGGTGAAGAATGTTCTAGAATGCATTCCCACTGTCCCTTATTTTAGAACATTTATGCTGCCTCCGGGTTTTCTCTTTTTTGTTGTGTTTTCCTTCCGGTATTTTTCCTGTTATATATTTTATACACACACGCAAGACGTTCTATAGGGCAGTCTTAAAGAGTCGAATTGTTTGGCCATGGGATGCACGGATTAGACACTTGTGTAGATTCTGCCAAGTCATCCAAAGTGTTTGCAAAAGTTAAGCCTCACCTCATAGGGTGCGGGGCCGCTCGCCCTCCTCCTCACCACTCCGATGAGCAGAGGGGCCCCCTGGGGACCTTCCCCGGGCACGTCCCCAGTCCCCTGGGAGCCGAGCCTCTGAGCCTGTTCCTTTGGAGCCTGTCTGTGTTGCCGACCCACAAACCGCTTTCTCTCTTTCCGCCTGCAGGATAGCTGTGCCAGAGTGCTGCTCTTCCGGGGCGGGAACAAGGAACAGAAGAACCACAACAGCCAGACTCCGTTCCAGGTGGGGGGCTCGCAGAGCCAGCATCCCCTGCGTGTGCGCGGTCGCGGGAGGCCACGCGGGGTTCCGCGTGGACCCGTGTGTTGGACGTGAGGCGGGCCCGTCTCACCGGGGACGTCGCCTGCGTTTGGAGGCTGTGTGCTCCTGGCGCCATCCCTTCTTCGTGCTGGAGCTGCTGACACATTTCAGTCAGTTGTTCCCTGCAGCGACTCGTCTTTGTGGGGTGTTGGAGAAGGCAGCTCTGGAAAAGCCTTCATGAGTCTGTTTTGGGGTGGCGGCCTGTCATCTCTGGCACCCCCATGGGGCCTGTGGTCCCTGAGTGGAGGGGAGCAACCCTGGACCAGTGTCGGTCGGCAAGGTGCTCCACGGCGGGCGGGGTGGGGGGGGGTGCAAAGCTGCCGTCCTAATTATGTTTAAATTGTGGTAGAATGCATATCACACAACGTTGACCATTTCGACCACTTCCAAGGGTGCATTTCAGTGGCCGTAAGAACATTCCCGATGTTGTGCAAGCATCACTACTGTGTGAATTGCCTCACCCCCAAACAAAACCCTGCGCCCCCCCACTCATCAGCCATTGCTCCCCACTCTCCCCCACCCCCGAGGCCCCTGCAACCACTGATCCACTGTCTGTCTGTGGCTTTGCCTGTTCTGCGGGCATTTCATGGAAAAGGAACCGCACCACATGTGACCTTCAGTGTCCAGCTGCTTTCTCTCAGCAGATCAGTTTCAAGGGTTGTCCATGTGGTGGCACGTGCCAGGGCTCCGTCCCTCTTGACCGAGTAAAATCCCATCACGCGGACACGGGGCTCATCTGATTTCGATGCAGCTGACCGGATGGTTTAGGGTGGAAACGAATTTTTTTTTTTTGGCTGATGCGTTAAGTTATGGCAAACACTGTCCGCTAATCTCCACTTGACTGAAAATCTAAGTGACTGTCATTTTTATTTGGAAGTAATTTTTGCATCTTCTTGAGCCAAGAGAGATCTTTAATTCAGAACTGACACACATGGATGGTTTTCCTAATACTCTTCTGAGGCATTACTAATAAGTACACGTTTGATGTCTTGAAAATGAACCAGTTTAATTGAAACACTGGGCAGAACATCTTATAACCACCATTAAAAGTTCACTTAGTTCGCTCATTGCAGTGGGCCTGGATTGTGGTTTTGAATCTCATGGCTTTCAGGTGGTTAGAGCAAAATGGGAATATTTCGCAGAGGTGACTTTCTGGTTTGTTCATGGGTCTAGAAAGACTGCGGTTACTCTCTGGGAAAATGTCTTCTTGCCAGTGGTGATTAGAGGGAGCCGTGGCACCATCCACTTCTTTGTGGCCACGTCTGCCCCTTTGGGCTTTGCTGTGGCTTGGTGGTAGTCTTTGTTTAAAGATTTCCTTTGCCACCAAATTATGCATGTCGTTGACCCTCTTTTTTTTTTTTTTTAAGTCAAAACATTGTTTAAATTGCTTAAAAAGGACAGCTGATGCCTTTGATCCTTGGGTAATGCAAAAGAGCCCTTTCTGGCTCTCTGGGGCAATGCCTTGTGACCGCCACCTGGCGCTCCAGGGACACAGCCTTGCAGGGCATCCGGGACAGATAGCACATAGGTGGCCTCCCTGTTGGTCCGTCCTGCTAAACCGTCACCCCAGGCAGTGATCCCCTGGCACGGGGCAGTCCTACGGGAGTCCTGGCAGGATGCCTTGTACACGCTCCCAGCCCACTCCAGTGCAAGGCGGTCTGTCCTAAGTGCCCAAATGGTTCTGGAAGACGGTTATGCAAAATGCAGTTGAATGATAGGACTTTGTGCCCTGCGAAGGTTGCTTATGGAACAGGTGGGATCAGAGCCTGGGGTGCCTGCTCTGCATGCCCGGATGCACTCCACTGACTTGGGGACTGGTTCCGTCCCTCTCATCTCCCGCCTTCTCGTGCTGCAATGATACGGAGATGTGATCCAGCCCGCGGATCCCCACCTGCGAAGTGCCCGGCTCTCATTCTCGTCACAGCGCCCGCCTCCCGGTTATGGAAGAAGAGTTCCTTCCCGTTGAGTGTGTGGGGGAATGATGGCTTGCTGTGCTGTTTAAGGGGATCAGAAGTGCTCCGTGCAAAACGCTCATGATCCTCGGCTGCTGTTCTAAGAAATCTTGGACCGTTTCACGAGTTCATCTGGCCAAACATTTGCTTAATGATTTCATCCAAATGCTGAAGCAGCAGCATCAGCAACACTTCGGGACTTGAGAGAAAATGCAAATACGCAGCCCCCAGCCTCCCAGTCCCACTGAGTCAGAAGCTCAAGGGCAGGGCTTTGTGCTCTGGGTTTTGAGAAGCCGCCTAGAAATCCTGGTGCCTGCAGGGGCTTGAGAATCCCAGAGAGATGATTTTTAAGGAGAAGTGGGGGAGGAGGAGAAGCTCTTACATTGTTACTTGGGTGTGTATTAGGCAGGGATGCTGATGGCGGGGATTGCCTCGGTCAGCTCACCGGCCACAGCAGAAAACCACAGGCCGCGCGGAGTAAACAACAGACGTTTATTTCTCGAAATTTTGGAGGCCAGAAGTGTAAGGTCAGGGAGCCAACAAATGTAGTTTCTGGTGAGGCCTGTCTTCGTGGCTAATAGATGGTGAACTACTCACTGGCCTTTCCTCTGTGCACACGGTGGTGGGGGGGGTGTTTTCTGCTGTCCCATCCTCTCCTGGTAGAAACAATTCCATCTGTTGGGGCCCCACCCGTATGACCCTATGTAACCGTAATCACCTCCCTAAAAGCCCTATCTCCAAATACCAACGTATTGGGGGTTACAATTTCACCATTTGAATTTGGTGGGGGGAGGGGGGACAAATTCAACCTATAAAGTGATGATGGTGATGGTGGTGATAGTGAAGAAAATGAAGGTGATGGTGGTGGTGATGATGATGAATCTTTCCTGGCGCACAGAATTTTAAAGCTCACAAATGTTCTTCTGAATGTTCTCATTTGATGTTCGACAACCCAGTGAGGTAGGCATTTTTATTCCTAATTTACAGGCAAAATGGAATTCTAGAGAGATGGATGCATGGGAATGCAAAATAAGTTAGTGGCCGAGTCTGTGGTCTCCAGGCCTCCTGACCTCCTGTCCAGCGCTCTGGGGTCTGGAGTGAAGGAGACACTTCCCTCTTACAGGTACCATGTCTTGCATCCTGGCATGGAGTGAACGACATCAGGGATCCTTTGTGCTTTGGATTGCTCAGTCAAGGGAACAAAGAAAAAAACCAAATGTATCTTGATTGTGAAATTAGAGAGGAAAGAAGTCTGAAGGCGTAGAAAGTCTGTGTGAAGGTGGAGTGCAGGCAGCCAGGGAGAGAGAACAGCGTGGTGGCTGGTTTGCTGGGCGAGCTTGGCGAGGCGCACCCAGCCATCTAATCGGACCCTAGTGTGTGTGGGGGGGGGGCTGTGAAGGTGTCTTGCAGATGCGGTTAACGTCTACAGCCAGGGGACTTAGAGTAAAGGAGGTTAACCCTCCCTAGTAATGTGGATGGCTCTCCTCTAATCAGTGGGAAGCCTTAAAAAAAAAACAACAAAAAAAAAACACGTTTCCCAGGGAAGACAAAATTCGGGCTCAAGACTGTAATATAGAAAGCCTGCCCAAGGGGCGCCTGGGGGGCTCAGTCGTTAAGTGTCTGCCTTCGGCTCAGGTCATGATCGCAGGGTCCTGGGATCGAGCCCCGCATCGGGCTCCCTGCTCGGCGGGGAGCCTGCTTCTCCCTCTCCCCCTCCCCCTGCTTGTGTTCCCTCTCTCGCTGTGTCTCTCTCTGTCAAATAAATAAATAAATCTTTAAAAAAAAAAAAAAAGAAAGAAAGCCTGCCCGAGTTCCCAGCTTGCCGGCCTGTCCTACAAATTGTGGACTTGCCAGCCCCCACAGTCGCACAGGCTAGTTCCTTAAAATAGTATCTTAATTGTGTATACACACACACACACACACACACACACGCGTGTCCTGCTGGTCTGTTCCCCGCAGACCTCGGGCTGACACTCAGGCGAATGATGAATCCTTCCTCCCCCCCGAGAGGGGCTTCCGTGGTGTCTTCAGCACCCGGCGTGCGTGCGGGGAGAGGCGGCCTTTCTCCCCACGTGTGTCACGGTTGTCTTGTCCCCCACCATGTTCAGCAGCTGCCGCTCAGACGTCTAGATGCAGAGAAGCGCGGGGGATGGGGAGAAGGGGACATGGAGGGAGAGGCCTTCCGGAGGGCTGGTGTCCGGTGCTCATGGGAGGAAGTGGGAGGGCGGTGTGGGCGGGACTGGGGAAGGTGGTGCACAGTGGCCGTGGCGTGGCCTGCCTTTCAGTGGGCGCAGCTCTCTGCCCCGCCCGCCACGGAGCCTTCCTCCTGGGGCTCCTCCCACGGCTCGTGCTCCCGCTGGACCCCGTGTTCCTCCTCAACCACCACGCTGGACATACAAGCAGGAGAAAGGCCAAAGCAGGAAACGAGGAAGTGAGTTTTAAATCCCAGGGCTGTGGCTGCCCCGGGGGCAGATCCCCATAAGTTCCATCCCGATGGCTCTGTGTCTTCAAGCTCTTCGCTCTGTGATTCACTCGATGGTTCCGGCCTGTGGCCTTGCATGGCCCCTGGGGGAGCCCTGAGCTCATGAAAGTGACCTTGTTTCTTTTCTGAAGCCGAGGCTGTCGTCCTTCAGACCCCGCGTCTCGTGTACCTGGCATGGAGCTCCCATCGAGCTCACTCATTCCACGGTGTAGACAGGGGTGGATCCGTCCTTCAGTTCGAGACGGTGTGATGAGCACCCTGCTGAAGACCGCGTGCTGTCTGTGCTGATCGTGCTCTCACTGAAGCAGCTGCTTCTGGGCTGGGGGCCGGGCCGGCGACAAAGGCAGTCTGACGTTGTAGGCACGTCTGGTCTGGTTTTGCACGTTCTCTGGGAAACTGCGTAAACACACGCAGAGGGAACCTCTGTTCCTGGTTCCCTCCGGGCACTTTTCTGAATCTGTTTCTTTGTTGAGCGACTCAACACACAAATT